TATTTTTTAACTGAAGCAGGAAAATATTGACAAAAAGAAGATAACCTAGTAACTTTAAAATTTTGAATCGATCAAGGTTAGATTAAAACATGTGTTATGTTTGGATAATATTAGATTGGGGAAAAAAGAAATCCATTATTTTTATATGCATTATATGACATTATTTAACATGCTTCGGAATGTCCGATTTGGGCGAAATATGCATCGTTTTGTTTTATGCTTTAAAGGTAATGCCTCTCTCATAGAAGTCCTGCTCTCTATTTGCAAACAAAACTCTAGTAGTCGATTTTCACAAGCCTCCTTAGATACCAATTTTTATCATTAAATAAATTCAATTGAAGTAAAAGATGATAATCGATTGGTGCCAAGTTTGGATTGTATGGCGGATGCATTAAAACTTCCCAACCAAGGTCCCAAAGTTTCTGGCGGGTCACTGTAGATGTGTATGGCCTAGCATTGTCCTGGTTGAACACGACACCTCGCTGTTGGCCAGTTCTGGTCAATTGCAAATGGTTTTGTGGCCGATTTTTAGCTTTTAGCTCCTGGTCGATGTTACGACTGCTAACATGTTGGTCAACTTTGATCATTTCTCCGATTTTATCGACATTTTCGACGACCGGCATACCTGTGCGAAGTGCATCTTTAAGATCAACAATTCCTAAACGAAATCTATGAAACCAAAAATTGCACATAATTGGCTGTTACGGAATCGAAAAGAAAAACTGTAAAATGTACCAAATTTTCTCTTTGTTCACTTCCCATTTTAACACCTTGTAACTCACAACTGAATTCACCAAACAAAAAACAGCAAAATAATTTTTATTAGATTTTTTTTGAAGACGAGCTAAATGCAAGGGCTCTTTTTCTATGGAAGAAGCACTTCGAAGCAAATGATGCAAAAATGTTAATGGACGACTGCTTCTTTTGATCAAGGAAGGACGACAAATTGTTTAAAATTCGAAATACGAATAAGAGAAGACGAACAATTTAATCGCTCTATTAAACCCTGTATAAAAACCGTCTATCCGTTTTTAATCGGATTTGCAGATAAAAATATCTTTCTTATTTTTTAACTTGGTTTTTGGTCAAAAATCGGCGATTTTCCAAAAATATTTTTTCAAAGGTCCGCCATTTTGTTAATTTTAGAGCGAAGTCAATATTACTAGTTCATACGAGAGCCAGACGTGTACTCTTTCTAACACCGTTGGAATTTTCTGATTCCGATATTCCAGTGAGGAGTTATCATGCCCGCCATCAAAAATAAGGATCTTTCTTTAATTACAAAAAACAATAACAAAATTTTTTTGTAAATTATTTTTCTTCCCTTTTAAATCTTCAATTATATATGTGCAAAGTTACAAACCTTAACAAGCATTGGTATTGATTTACCAGCCCATTGAAAATCTTAAGGTTCAAAAAAATGAGGACGAAAAAATTCAACAAACTCTCGAGATATATGTGTTTGACCATATATTATTCATTTGATTTGGCCGAAGATATGGATGAAAAATCCTTTATAATAATTAAATATAAAAATTTTTAAAAACTCTCCTTTTTAAATAAAAACACATTTATATCGTCGAGACCATCCCCTGTTTGAGCTGTGTGAGCAGTCTGTTAGTGCCGATGAAAAGTAATTTCAAAAAATACTTTGTTTTCCGTGTATTACTCATGCTCGTTCATAATGGTGTGGACAATTGATGTTGGCACTGAATACGCTTTTATTGTTTTTGTTATTCTTCTTCTTATTATTAATGATATATAATTTTTTGCTCTTGCTTTAAAAGTAAAAATAAAACAATTAATAATAAGTTTTGTTTTTGTATTTATTATTTCATAGGCAATGCAAAAATCTACTCAAACACACACACCGCTGCAACTAATTAGTATTGGTTATTAGATAAAGAAGAGCAAAACAACAACTGCATGCACGCACAGTGAGAGGCAGAAGAGAATATTAATATGGGCTGACAGACTACGCACTCAACTAATTGACATATACCTCCATATAAGTGTTTGTGTGATTGACAATTGTTGTTATAATTAGCAAAACTATAATAGCCAAACGACTATTCCTCCCCCCAAAATACTTGTAACGTCATTTTGACTTTTTGTTGCTGTTGTTTTTCAATAACTACAAAAAATGTTGATTATTTCCATTGCACTTCAAATCGCCTGCCTGCCTGCCTGCCAGCATGGCGCACTGCCTGATGTGTTTGTTTACTTTTTGAGCTTTATTTTGTTGTTGCTTTTTGTTTAACTGCAAATGAAAAGCTTTCTCATTTCATATTTGCAAAGCTTATTGCAATATTGACGTTCATGTTGTTGTTTTTATTTTCACAGTAGCAAAATACAAAGAAATCCCCCAAAAACAACAGTAACAACGACAACAAAAAACGAAACAAAACAAAAAGTTGCATTTCATTTTGTTTAAGGAAATAAAACAAAAGAGAAATATTTAGAAATGCCATTGTTATTGTTTGTTTTGCTGTTATTTGTCAAGAAGAAAATGGTGAACAGCTGTAAAAACCGGTTGCCGGTTTTTACTTTTTAATGAGTGTGTGTGTATCAGTGAGTGAGTGAATGAGTGTGTGTGTGTTTGTAGTTATAGGTGTGCTGTAATCTCTTAGCTAGGCAACTTTTATTACTAAGTATGTATATTGCAATGAGGATTTTGTTGTTGCTGTTTTGTGTTTTTTATTTCCAAGTAATAAGAAATTAATCATATGTTAGATAGTTGCTGTTATACTTTTGACTAGGAATTAAAACGGAAGTAGAAAATGTTATAAGATAAAGTTCGTAAATGGAATATAGGGACTTATTTTTATTTATTAATGTGTTAGTAAATTTAATTTCTTATTTTTTCAAGTTTCTTGAGAGCCTTTCATTGTTAGTATTTAAGTTTGTTATTTTATTAGTGTCATCTTGAAATCATACTTGTTATTCAGGGTTATTAGTTTCCGGAAATGCCATGAAACATTTCAAATAATTTAATTAAAACGAAGTTTTATTTTTTTTGTTTGGGAACCTCCTTTAGATTGATGACAAAATTATTAATTTGAAGATGTTACATTTGGAATAAGTTTTAAATTTACAAGGAAATTTTATTTTTATTTGCATTTAATTTTTTTTATTTTTTTACAATTTTTTTTTGAAAACATCCCATTTTGATTTATTAATTTTTTTGGTGTTAGAAATTTACATGTAGTCTTTAAACCCATAAATTTTATTTGTTAATAAAAAAATATGTTTTTTGATATATAAGACCTTTATTTTTATGTGTGTCATTTCTTTATAAATATTATGAAATAACTAAAATCGAATCCTTATATTGCTATGTTAAAACATTGGACGACATTGTATATGATCTGTCGGATATTTTTACTCTCTGAGAAAACGAAATACCAAAGTGCAGGCACAGAGATAACCAAATTCGGAAAGGAAACCTACTGTAAATGATTCTTCCCTGATAAAAAATATGTATATATTTATCATCACAAGTATTATTAATCTTATTATTATTATTATTCGAACTACTCTTCAGCATGATTTATTCACTTTTTTATGTGTTTAAACCAATTGCCGTTCTTTTATTAAACTTTGATCGACACATCTTCCATTCCTAGCCTCTGATCATTCAATACGCTCTTTTCCTTGAAATGCGGGATTAAAAATAAGTCATTAGATGCCATGGTAGGAATGCACGGTGGATGACCCATCAATTCCACGTTTTGGTCGGTCAAAAAGTGCTGGCTTGAGCCTATGTGTTAGTTCTCGAATTGCCATGGTGAATTGGTCTTCTCTTGTTTATTTTTCGAATTTATCGGAACACTTCCTGCAAATAAACTGTACCACATCGAATTGACTGTCTCACGTTGATCAATACGCAGTCGACCATTTGCTTCGATGGATTTCATTCACAAACAAATTTCGTTATGGTCGATGCGCTGCATAGATTCGTCAACTTTAACGATCTTATAGACACAGTTTGAACTTTGGCGGTGGTATTTTTTCCAAAATTCCATTGCACCTATATTTGAGCGATTATCAAATTGTGCGGAATCCAACAAAAACAAAAACTTCTGACGATATATCATATGACGATTTTGCATTATCAGTTCACACCTTGGTTTCTTTGTGCCACAGACGATTTTGGATACTCGACTTAAGGGAATCGTCGACCACTTTATCACAGTGCAGTCGCCAAGCACATATTTAATTTCATCGATATACTCTTGTCGTGATAGTCCACTTCGGAAGTTGTGACAAATGATCACACGAATTAATACAATTTTTTGATTAATAGATTTTTAAAATCTTGGTAACCAACGCAACCGTACTGGGTGGATATTTTACCTATTAATAAACCCAAACATGTCCATTAAAAATATTAAAAAATATATGAAAAATGTTTTGTTAAATAGCATGATTAAACCCTTGAAATACTAAAAACTGAAATACACCTTATTTGCCAATACGACGACCATATCGGTCATGGGGTTGTCTGACAAATGTTATCTGATGTTACAAACTGAATTTCAACTAGAAGCCTGTAATTTCAATACACTTTTTAGTCAGTTTTTCCTATATTTTAAAGACGTTGCAATAGTTTTATTTCTTTTTTTAATTTCGATTTTTCCCGCGTTAATTTTAAAAATTTTACCAATTTTGCAATATTATTAACAATTCTCGGAAAAAATATTTTTTATGTTTAGTCGAAGTAGATTTTTTTTATTTCACGTATGTAAAATATTTATATTATCTTATTTGATCAAAAAAATCAATGAAAATTATTTTGCACCCTTGTTTAACATAATTACGCCCACAAGGGCGTATACTTAATCAATTTGGAAAATATATTACTCATACGCCTCACAGGCCCTTAATGAATAATGACTTTGTTTTACTTATTTGCCCTTTCTACACACACAATACCTTGAAATCAACAATTATTAATGTATACATTCTCTCTCTCTCTCGCTCTCTCTCTCTCATTACAGAACACATGATCTAATTCGATGCATGTTCATAACAACAACTATAAATGCGTCCCCAAAGACAACGCGTGGGATTTGTTGATGTTAAGATCGGGACACCGTTCATTAAAAGGATACGTTGTAAAATCAAATCCTCTACTCTTCCAAATGGTATGTCGATAAAATGATACATCCATCATAAATCGCGTGCTTCAGACGCGAGCCAATGTCGAGCATCCAATCGCAATCATTCGCAAACAGAAACATCAGCTAACAGCTTCATCCAAATACATTATAAATACATCAACTACAACAACAACAACAACATCATGCTAGAATAATAACAAAAGAAAATACAATAAAATAAAAAAAAATCATGCCAAATTAGCAATTAATGAAAAATTAAAAAAGGAACTTAAAAACATTTCTTAGTGCTCATCACAGCAAACAACGCCTACAAAGCACCATTGTCATAACCTAAACATTGCTCAATAATCTTTTTTTATTGGCTGAGCTTTTGGCCGGCATCTTCAGTCTACACATAAGAAAAAAAAAACAAAACGCACTGCCTTCAATAGATGACCTTTTCAACAAAAACAACAAAAAATGTTTCGTTTGTTTTGTAAATAATTTTAATAAAAATCAATACTAATTAATTAATAATAAGAACAGCAACAACAACAAACAATATCAACAATCCGCAAAAAAGGTAAGTGTTGTTCTGCTGTCATTTATGTATACATCTGTTTCCATATAACGAAGTGTGTGCAATTTTTGTTTCAATTACTTTTCTTTAAATAAAACAAAAAACTAAATGTTGAATTATCAGTTAGATTTTTTTTTTGAAACAAAGGAAATTTTTGTAGCTACGAAGACGACGTCGACAGCGGCAGCACCCGCAGCTAGTCGGCTATAGTAATATGTAGATTTGTTATAGTTGACAGTTTAAATTAATATTAAAATGTACGGTAAATATTCCGACATTCACACACACAAACAGAAGGCAGAATACACAAAGACCCGCATATGCAGTTAATTAATTTCTATATTATAGAAAATAAATGACTGATATTCATTCCATTTTATATTTCAATTAAAAATATTGTGATAATTATTATTACTGATTACTAACCTTTTGGGAATCGCACTGAGAAGTAATGTCAAGTTCAAATGGAAGCGATTTTTATATGTATTTCGAGGATTAGGTTGGGATTGCTATTGCAGGAAATTTAATGAAAAATAGATAGTAAAGTATCAGAATTTGTGAACAAATGTACATTTTGTGTAGATTTATATTTTAGGATTTTGGCATAATTGCGGGGGATAAAAATTTACGTATATTTTTTCCACTTTGTGTAATGATCGATAGAATGTTAAAATGATTAAACTCTAACATGACTTCTTTTCGACCAAATCGTGTAATCTGACCTGTTAACATCGCAAAAACCACTTTTTATCATTGTTAAGAAAATTAAAACAAGAATCGTTTTTAAATTCAAATTTAATTATTATAGAAATTCGATTATTTCAAATTATATAAAATTATCTTATTAATTTTGGAAATTATAATATTTTACAAATATTGAAAAAAACTTGAAAATATGTTATTTTAATTATAAAAAATTATAAATATTTTTTTGAATATTTGAAATAAATTAAATTTAATATAATCAAATTTCTTTGAATATTTGACAAAAAGAAAAATTTATTTTTCTTATTTTCAGAAAAAAACTGTGCCAATGAATTCGTAAATTTTTGTTTTTTTTACGAATTTTAAATCAATTTTAGAAGCTTTTTCAGAAATTCACAAAAATGTGACATTTCATTAGAAATTACGAAATGTATTGGATTTTTGATACGAAATTAGGAAAATTATCGGAAGTCTGATGTTTAAATCGAAACTCAAAAAAAAATGTATTGTTATAGGTTTTGGAGTTACAAATAATGTCCGAACATCCAAAGCCATTGAGTGGAAAAAGCGTTTTGATTTGTTAATTTTTTCATGGCATATCCGAGTAATGAAAACTTTTTTTCAAATTAGTGTCATCTAGTTGTTCCATTGAATGAAATTTATCCTGATTATTTCCACAATTATGAATATGAAACGCCCTCTGGCGGTGGTCATAGGTACAAAATAAAGATCAGAAATGAAAATCATGAGCAGTTTTGATCAACAAATTAAAATTTTAATTTGGCAACATTTCTAAAATTAAAAAAGTGTATAAAAATCGTATATATAAAAGACCTTCGTGTTAAGTGAGTAAGAGTGACTGACAGATCATCGCCCAAACGAAACAGCTTAAGCTTGAAATTTTGAGCTATAGAGACATATTTGAAAATTCGTATTTATGCGTACGAAAAGTACTAAACGGCACTAGATTTGGTACAATTTGGATTTGAGATATGGAAGCATATTACTTATGTGTACTAAATGGTACTATATTTTGTACAACTTGATTACGTGTGAACGGATAGAGCTGGACTCCAAAATACTTTACAAATTGTTTTTGTGTAAACGGATTGGGCTGAGAGAGAAAAACTTAAATTTGGAATGAAAATTACAGAATTAAGGTAGTATTGGAATTTCGTACATATGGATACGAGAAGTACTAAAAGGTACTAAATATGGTACAATTCGTTTTGTGTCAGCGGGAATCCTAAAATTTGTAATTAAAATTGAGGTTGGAGTGTAGTATGAGACATGGAGGTAGTTTTCGAAATGCTTAATTATGTACACTAAGTGGTACTTAGTTTATTACAATTTAGATTTGAGTGAAAGGATAGAGATGGGAAACTTATATTAAAAACTAAAATTAGGAATGACACAATTTTGGAAATTCGAAATGTACCAAATGGTACTAAATATTGAACAATATGGATCTATGTGAATATGAATCTACTGTTGTAGTGTAGAATTGAAGCAGTTTTATAAACTCGTACTTACGTGTACGAAAAGTTCCGATGACTATTTGTAAGTTGGTTTGGGATATTGAGATAGTTTTGGAATATGGATATGAAATGTACAGAATGATGACAAATATAATTTAGTTATATACATATATATTATAATTTAGTTTTTAATGAACAGAGAGCTGGAATTAAATATGGACTTTACTATTTGGACGATTATTATTTGAAAGCAGGATTGAGGTACATTTGGAAATTTGTATTTATGAGAACGAAAAGTACTAAATTTGGTACAATTTGAACTTTGGTGGAATTAAGATAACTGTTAGAGTGTAGGATTAATGAAGTTTTAGAAATTCTTACTTATGAGTATGAAAAGTACTAAATGGTACTAAATTTAGAACAATTTGGATTTGGCTGAATCCTGAGATTTGGAATTTAGATTAGTGTTGAGGTGTAGTATTGAGCTATGGATACAACTTTCAAATTCGAATTTATGTGAATAGTAAATTGAATAAAAAATTCACTAAATTCAGATTTGGGTATCGGAAAGAGCTGGAAAACAAAACCAAAAGAATAACCAAAGGGTTTTGGTAGTCTTGGAAATGTGTATTTATGTGTTCGAAAAGTGCTAAATGGAACTAAATGTGGAACCTGCACGTTTTTTCTATAGTATATAGTTGGAATTTAGATCTATTTTTAATCTGTGTAATTGAAATAAGAATTAGATTTCGGAAAATAGTGCTTATATGTATGTAGAGTACTTAATGGCAATAAACTGCATATTAGATGTAGGAATAGAGGTGGAACAAATTATACAGTATTCACGATTTCCATATGAAATACAATTTTTTTGTATTCCCTTTCCGCATGCGAAGTAGCGGGCACTTTATCAAGTATTTTTAATGCCAATATATTCCAATATTTCTCACAATAACATGAAAAAATTTCCCTTGGTTTTAAAAATGAATATATGTTTCTATTACTCTTTGTTTTATTAAAACAATTTTTATTTTTACTCAAATCTACAATCTAGAAATCTACTCCCATTTGTATGTATTCAATTAACTAAACTTTTGTGTTGTTGGCCTCTAAAACAAATTGTTAAAATTCCATAATTATTGTTTGACATTTTGTGCAAAGAATATTTAATAGAAACAAAATATTACAACAAATAATGAATTAGTCATCGCTGCCATTCCATCCATACAGATGTTTTCTGTTGTGCCAGTAGAATTCAATTTTCATTTCTCTTTCATAATCTAGACAGCATAGAAATATATTATTTGTAGCAGCAGTATGTTTGTAGCTCTGTGTGTGTGTATGCATGCTTATATAGAAAATAAAAGAACAAACAATATATTTGAGTTTTCCTTTTATTGGAATCTTGATAGATATTAGAAAACGCTCTTACAAGAGAAGGCAACAACTTTTGCAAAAGCGAAAAAAAAACTTTTTTAATAACGTATGGCTACAGCCTCCTTCATAACTATTGGAACTTTTTAATACCAAAAATAGCAAAGTTGTGTTTACAAATCTCTACAATAAGAATAATAACCACTGTATTGCATTTGTTGCATGTTAGCAGTTTAAAAGTTGCATGCTCGACATCTAAAATACTGGGCAATGAAGAAGAATGAAACCAAGAGCACGGCAAGTAAGGCGAAGTTGTTCCAGGGTACGCATGGAGTGAAGAAGGCAAAGACGAAGCATTGCCCAGAGAAGGCAAAACTGGATACTGGTCTTCTAATGCTTGGTGTTTATTAAACACGGGATGGCATTGTTGTGGTTGTCTAATATAGACTGCTGTCGTACAACAACATCACCACCACCACAAAACATACTGCACAACACCATCAGCCCATAATAGACACTACCAGGAGTAATAGCAACAGCAACATCATCTATGAATTGTTATTGTATCTATTGAATAACGAATAGCTAATGCAAATCCAAGAAGAAGAAGAAGTAGGAAAAAAACAGTGAAATGAAATGAAACAAGTTTCCCAGTCATTGAAAGAAAAACATTCGCCAATGCAATAATGACCATGTGTTTGCCTCTGTGCTTGCGAGTGTGTGTGTCTGTAGATGTAATTGCTTTCGCCTGTGGAAAACCCACTGGTGCTGGTTTTGTTATTGACAATCATGTTGTTGTCGATGACGACAACGAGGATGATGATGAAGTTCGAAGATCACTAACTCCTCTAATTCTATGGCCACCGAGTTCGATGGGTGGTGGCGGTGGTGGTGGTTACAACCCATTT